TTTTACACCTGACGTATTTTGATGATTTCCACATTGATTTATTCCTGACTAAGGCAATACTCTGTTTGTAATTTTTGATATTTCCATAACACTACCCATAACATGCTTTATTAGTATAACCATGTGTCAGGTTGAGGAAATTTTTGCGCTCTAACCGGGTTTTGATGTTGTCCTTATGAAAAATTGTAGGTGATATAGTGAGCAGGAACTTCACTGTTAAAGTTATTGAGACCAGGACGAAAAGTTATTCGGGATTTATTCGCTCCATCCTTTCTTGCAAAGTTGTTAATGGGACGGTTTCGCCCATGAACTGTGGTTTCTGACGATGGCGGTATTCAATTGATCTGTAATAGGCGGATCTGTTCCAGAAAACAGCTTCTTTTCCAAATTCAGTGCATCTACTGTAGAACTGGATTTTTTCAACAGGAATCATGTACTTTTGATGTTCGAGCAAAGCTATTGGCGCCGGTACTAAGGCATCTGCAATCAGTTTAACTTCCCAGCATTTAAATTTTGAAATTTGCTAGAGATGAGCGAGGCTATGATCAAAGGAGGAACGTTTATCGAATCATTTCAGAAGTGCTGTAATTGCTTCAGCGTGTCTTAAGTATCTTACGGGTGCATACATAGAATTAATCTTATTTACAAATTCGAAGTAAGGCAGTCTATTTTTCCTGTGGATAGCCAACATTGTTTAACCAATACTTCGGCATAAAGTGACTATTCTTCTGTCACTCCGTCGCAGTCTACCGTTCTTTTGCACCTGGTAAGCCAACGGACCTTTTAGGCAGGCTGTTTCATAACATTTTGGCACCTGTAATACAGGAGGCGCGGAATTGTTAACATTTTAAAAACAAAACGCAACGGTGGAATACGTTTCGCGGTCTCAGATATCATTCCAGTTAACAGCGGACTACGGCAAGGGTCGATCATCGGGCCAATGCTGTTCAGTTTCTGCATTTACGCCGTGATAACAGAGGCGGTTACGAACTTTGATAGCAAAGTAATACTCCGTTTATCAACACGCCGGTTTTGTGATTTCGATTGTGCTGACAGCATCACAGTCATTGCGGCGAAGCCGTTAGAACTTTAGAAAGCGTTGATAACTCTAGAAATTTCTAACGACAGGTACGGGTTGAGACTGAAGCCATCGAAATTCAAAGTTCGTGTATCACAATATGACACAAAGAATGTTAAACATCGTGAGCATTTATGGGGAAGGTACAGCTAGTGATTGATTATCACTAGTAAGCTAAAAGGAGATGTTTTTCAGTGAATTACGAAGGCTCGAATCGTATATAATGTGTTGCAAGAAAATCTGTCGAAAACTGCTGTCTGTACATCAGTGAAATTCGGTGTATATCTGACAACTGTTTGACTAGACCCCTATTAAGGAGGAAACCAGCGCGATAGACTCTGAACGCTCTTGTGGCGCAGAATATTTGGCTGCACACTGATTGATAAGTTGACGAATGCTCAATTGCTAGAGGAAGTTAAAAGAGTCACATCAGTTAAGGTACTTCGGATTTGGAGTAGTATCATATTGCCTTCTGATGAAATCGAGGAACTAAAGCTCGTTCTTCGGCCATGTACTATGAGAGAATGACAAGCGGTTGATCAGAATCGTGATTCGTAGGGTGCCGAACCAAATGCTGGCAAAGTGCAAATGGTCGGTCAAGAATTTCATGATTGGATAGAATCATCAACAAGTTGACTGCCACAGAATTGGGCTGCACTTGTCGGCAAACCGCGAACCGGCTTGACACAAGGTTAGGGCTACGGTAATTTCAAGCACTCCACAGGACAGGAAGCAATCGCAAACGGCGACAAGAAGCGCAGGGATGCCGCAACCCTTTGGACTTCAGGACATGGGCGAAAGCAGCGCTATTTGTGGCAGTCAAGCAGAACGTGTTCCTGCAGCAACGCATATCCCTTGATCCGTAGGCACATATAATAAAAATTAGCCCTGAAATTACCTGCTTGCAAGCAAACTGAGAACAAGGAACAATAGTCTCCTGTCACATCTCCGTATCTTACAGCATTGTCGCATTGTTTCTTTGATTCGTTATAAGTGCACCAATCTACTATTTTGTTGTTATTGCCATTAATCGCTATTTATGTATTGAAGAATGTGAGGAATCTAGTTGAGTTTTCGGAATCAGTCTGTCACATGACTGCTAATCAGTTTTTATGTATCTGACTTTACAGTGACACACCTCCTGCTAATCCCTACTCAGTTAGGAGACTGTTAGAGTAGGTGCCATATTAGAGCCAGCTATGGTCACAGTGAATGATGTCAGTCGATAGAGCCGTTGTGTTGACGTTTTTAATAATCTAATGTTTAAAACATTTCTCGATTATCGATCGAGTGCTAAACGAATTTTCTATCCTGTAATCCCTGTTGGAGCACAGCAAAAATCCTTACTGCTGACTTTTATGTTTCATTATGGACATCCACAGAATTATTAATCAAGGAGTTCCAGTGATCTAATCGTTATATCAACTAGATTACAGCGTATGATTTGACTATATTAGTGTCACTCAAATCAAAAGGTAACGTATTCTTGGTCGATCGATGGAGTAAAGAAGTCATATAGTTGCTGCTCGATGAATGCTTTGTTTTTTTTAGATTGTCGCTTTCCTACTTTTGCTATCGCTGACTTGTCTAGTCGCCAGTCTGTTCTGCCTGACAGTCCCCGGTGCGTGTTTTTACGATCGAAAGATTTCGCGGCATATATTCCAGTAGCTCTATTTTTCAGTGACCCTTGGACGTAAAGTGATTTACTTAATCACCGGCCAACAGCAGTACCACGAACTGTACACTTTAGCCTGCGGATTGTACATCTGCTGGCTGATCATGCGACTGAGCATCTTGCTTTCGGAATATTTGCCGCTTGGTCTGGCAACGCTTTGGAATAACGCGGTGTACTGGACAAAAGTGGTACGTATTTCTTCGGAACTTTCTGAAACGACGACATGTTTAATTTTTGCACTTTCATCGGGTGAGCCTTGTCGATCGTTCTTCGTTTTGTTGCTCTTGCCCTCTTTGTCCTTGTCGTTTCTGTAGACTTTATCGTCATGTTCTATTGATAGATTACATCCGTCGCCGGATCAATCGCCCTTTATCGTTATTACTACCGATACCATGAGAAATTGCGGTCTTTCACGATAGCGCTATAATGATGACAGTTCATTTGGTATCGTCTACTTCCACTGTCTTCATTGAATAGAGGAAATAACGCGCATGGGGGTGGGGGGGGGGCATAGTTGGCCCATCACACGTTTTACTGGTCTATAGCTGTACACATGTGACTATATTCTAAATAGTTGATGTACTTCCGGATGAATCCACTAGCTAACCATAGTAGATAAGTTGCATCTGGATTACCAGGCTGCGTCTTGCACCCGTTATAATTTTCATTCTTCGACAGTTAAGTTAAGGGGTTATAATCAGTAAGTCGTTTTTGCTCCATCTCTGCTTGGCGTTGCCAGTGGAATGCCACGAGACGATGTGTAGTTTAGTTTCGCCACAGAGCCTGCATCGAGAGTGGCGCTTTTCTACATTTCTGAAGTTTATATCAGATATATCATCTGAAGCTCTACACAATTTCTGACGTTGCATTATTTTCACATTTATAATCGTCATTCAACCTTGCATACATCTTTTCATGATTTAATAGTCCATTTATTTGATTCGACATATCAAGACGACTAACATGAAAAACCTGCTGACAACGGGAACATATCCAAGTGTTACATGGGTTGAAAAATGGACGGATCTGAAGAGAATAGCATGAAAGTTTAGCAGTTTGACTTTGAACCTTTCTTCAGGAAAGAGAAAACTCTTAAACAATCATGCTACCAGTCGAACAGTACCAGTTTAGAAAAAATGCGAATTGTATACTGGCTTTGGTCAACGGCTTCGTTCAACACTCTATGTGATCAAAACAACGAATAACCGCCCACTACTCTACAGGCGCAAAACTCCCGCCGATTGCGAGGAACAGTACTGATTTGGCGAAGCCTCGTTATATCTTCCTAATAAACTGGAACTGCCACCGTTAAGGTTGGGTATGAAAAGTACAACAAAGAAATTCGGTACTGCAGAAGTTTCAGATCTTGGCGGCATCCCAGTGGAGTTACAGAAAGTTGATTGCGACAATAGTTACATAATATATTACAATAAACGGTAAGTACGTACTTCGTCATATCTGTTTGGACATGTTAAATGGGACGCTGGTACATCGCCTGGACACTTCCTTTGATCATCGTCTGTTAAAGTCACTGAACTAACTGCTCAAACCATACGAAGATTTCGCTTATCTTTGCATATTGCAAGAACTTGCAATTTAGGATAGAATTTTCAAGACTGAGGTCATGTGACTGGGAAGAGTAGTCGACAGAAGTGGGGTCACTATATCAGGATCATCTGGGT